ACTTCCCCTTGGTGAAGCCATGTTGACTTGTATCAGTACTGCATTACTGCAGTCCGATGTAATCTGAAAAGTGACTCCAAAACCAGCTGTGCAGCATAGGGATCAGGTAAATTCTAATTTGCGTTGCTGTTTTCAGCTAATACTTGGGAACTAATAAAACTTAAATTCCTGCTCTGCAGGTATTGAGACACGTAAGCCTCACAGTGTCAGTATGTGGAAGTTGTATTCCCAGTAGCAACAATAAGCTAACTAAATTTTTCCAAGTTACAAATGTACCTTAAATACTGGAGACAGTGAAACTGAGTTTGTGTGTTCTCTGCTTAAGTTTCTATAAAGGTGTTGCTCCACTATGGATGAGACAGATTCCATACACAATGATGAAATTTGCTTGCTTTGAACGTACTGTTGAAGCTCTCTACAAGTACGTCGTTCCCAAGCCACGAAGTGAATGTACAAAAGGAGAACAGCTGGTAGTCACATTTATTGCAGGCTATATTGGTAAGGATCTTTAAGTCTTACACTTAATTAATGGACTACTGCAACTCTAGAAGCCTTTCCCTTTTCAGAATATCAAATAGATATGGGAATGGGAGAACTTGCTTGTAACTTCAAAATGTGCGGGAGGAAAAAAACTATTAAACCTGTAAGTGGAAAATGGGTCTGTGTTAGGATAATATTCTTAATTGTTCCTGTGTATTACCAATGTTAATATCCAAGTTTAGAAACTGCATCTGATTTAAGTGAAAAAAATTGCATCTTTGCTAGGCTGGGGAAGGTTGAAGGAAGGAGACAAGAGATCTGAATGGAAGGGGGGATTATCAATATCCAAAGATTAAGAAGGAGTTTTGTCTTAGCAGAAGAGGTGCTGCAAGAGCAGAACTGAGATGTTTTCTAATATTCATGTCACATTATAAGTATGTACCTGCTGTCCATTTAGGATACCAGGAGGCTTGTATGATTTATTACAGATGTGGTTTCAGTTGGTTGTAATGGTACAGCTAAAACACCACAGAACTAATGTCAAATTATGCTTTCAGCTGGTGTGTTCTGTGCAATTGTTTCCCATCCTGCTGACTCGGTGGTGTCTGTGTTGAACAAAGAAAAGGGCAGTTCTGCTTCACAGGTTCTTGTGAGGCTTGGATTCAAAGGTATGTCTTTACTTTCATGTATTTTGGATTGTTTTGGGAAGGTTTTCTTTTTTCCTGGCTTCCTATGCTACTCATGCTTTATGTTTTGCTCTACAGGTGTATGGAAAGGTCTGTTTGCTCGTATCATTATGATCGGTACCCTGACTGCACTACAGTGGTTCATCTATGATTCTGTGAAGGTTTATTTCAGACTTCCTCGTCCACCTCCACCTGAAATGCCAGAATCTCTGAAGAAGAAGCTTGGTCTAACTGGATAGACAACTCGTGGACTGACTGTGCTGCCTGTCCCAGTGATGAGTTTCATTAAACTTTTATATATTTGACTATGTAAAAAGCAAACTCTATACGATGTCATTATTGGCTATGCCCTCATCCCACACGAGGGTTTAAATTCTACCACTGTCATTGCCTGAAATAAATGAGAAACAGAGTGCTTACTGTCTGTTTACTACTGCATATGTAAGCTTCATTTCATAGCAGCAAATACCTCAAGTACTTCCTCCACCCTGCCCCAGCCCCTCAAAAAAAAACAAAACCAACAAAAACGCCCAAAAAATTATTCTACACTTTGGAACTAGACAATTGTGAAATAACTGTAACAAAAATAGGCTTACTGTTTCCAGAGACGTGCCAAGAACCTATTCTTGCAGAAGTGCAGAATCTAACTGCAGTTCATTGTTTTATTTGCCTGTATTAAGCTGTTACTATGGAATAGCTGAACTGAAGGGCTGAGGTGAGACTGCAGTCTGACAGGGCATTCTGGTCATAATACCGGTGTTCTCCATAGGAGAAGAAACTTGATACACACTAGAGCCATTTCTGCTTTGGGGTGGTCATCCCAACATAACTTATGCTTCCTTGACTAATTTCTGCTTGTGTTGGCTTAAAACCACACCAAAGAACAGTCCTCTTGGTTGTACTGTGTGATTAAACTGTAGCTGCTACCTTAATAAAAGACAATCTGATGTTAATAAAATATTTTTGAAGATATGACTGCTAAAAGGTTACTGCAGCTCTACAGTAAAAGAAAAATGGCTTGCCTCTTAGAGTTTGACAAACTTGTTTACACTTGGTACTGCTATTCTACTTCTTCTTTTAGTAGAGCTGGAGCTTAAGTGTCTTTTGTGCAAAGCTGTTTGCTTATGCTGCCTTTCAGCACGTGAGCTGATGATAATGAACTTACCTTGGCATTCATGTATGTTGTACTGCTACTTCCTCTTGTGTCCTTCAGACTCAAAAGGATAATTCAAGCAGGTGCCATTGCAGTACCATGAATATACTGACCACTGCACCCTACTGGAGTCTGCTGTTCCTGTTACCATCTTACATAGCACTGAGCTTCTCATCCACTGGGAAAACCCTCTAACTTCAAAGATTTTGGGTGGTTATGCTAAACAAGCAAGCAGAGCATTATTTTGAATTGCTACCTTTCAAAATGTGGAGTAAAATCTAAAACTGCTCTATTTCCCTGTCACAGTGACACTAAACATGTTCTTAGACTGATTGGTATATTAACAGCAAAGTCAAATTCCGTAACTCTAAATAAAGCATCTGTATGAGTACCTTGGTTTTGAATTAAATACATTTCATGATATAAGTATGTACATCTTGTTGCCCCAGTGTGAGTGGGAAGCTTTGAAGTTATTTAACAAACCGTTAAATTCACTTGTGAGCTTCCTTGGAGAAGAGCATTAACTATAACTTGATCTTGTATCAAGACCATTGATGTTAAATCAGATTTTGAAGTTAACTTTTTTATGTGGTACAACTTGTTAGAAAAAGCAGTATTGCTTTTGTGTATTGAATATTCTAGTTTCTTTAAAGGCATGTTTTAACTCAGACTTCTGTTTGTTTGCTGGAAAACATCTCAAGTTCCTTCTAATCCTGGGAAAGTAAAGCACTTTTGTGAACTTTTAAGGTTGGCAGGAGAATGAGACAAGGTTGGGCCATGCAGTGAGGTAGTCTGATTGTCGAGTAATCCAATAATAGGTAAATTTCCCAAGACTGTTTTTTGTCAGTCTATGTGTGGAGAAAAATAATGCCATTTTTCTCTAGAATTGTGTCACCTTTGTGCAGCTGTTTTAAGTATGTGCAGTAATAAGAGAATCTTTAATTTTCTCATTGCTTAAGGGTAGACCTGAAATTATCTTTTTAAAATGCTCAGATAATTTTATCAAGGTAAATCTGAGATAAGACTACAAGGGCCAGCTAGCTGTTCCTCTTTTCTTCTGTAAGCGAGAAAGGGAAACTATACTTAGCCCTACTTCAGTGTTGCTTTTCAGTGGAAAACCTGGGGGGGAGAGAGTTACCTTGCAGCTTCTGACTTCATTGACGTTCAGCCATAGGGTTGTTTGGTTGCCTGAGATGAAGGGGTTTAACAAAAAGTTATTGCTTAAAGGATGACCCACTGAAATGTTAAATAAGCTTCAGTGGGAAAACTGTAGTATTAAAATGCATTTAAAAGGTCAACTTTTTCATTAATAACTGTGCTTTCTAGCATAATATGTAGTGTTTTCTGAAAGTTGAGAAGATGGGGCAGGTGAGCAGTGGTGTGTTGGATGGACTTGTGCTTTAATTGCAAGGAAAGTCCTGTATTGAAAAGGAGCACTCCATTTTGAACCGAGTATAACTTGGATAACTCCACTCAGTCACTAATCCCAAAAGTGCTTTGTAAAACATAAATTATGTATATGCTGCTTGTGTATATTGTTTTATGAAGGAGAAAACATTCTTTCTTGCTATTACTGGAGCTGAGACTAGCTTTCTAGGTTGAAGCGTACTGTCTATAAATTTGGAATAACAACTCCATTCACAGCCTGTGTTTGTATCAGATTATACTACAGATCAAATGTGCTGATACTTCCCAATACTTGCTGAAGTGCTTGTTACATATAATTTTAAAATGAGCTGTAATAATAAAAATAGTTGTAATTAATTTACATTTCTACATAGAAATTATGTAGTTCACAGTGAAAACAATAAACATCCTGCTTTTTTATAGCAAAGACTGAGTACCTTGGATAGCTGAGCTTAATAGGTACATGGCTTATTACAGGATGTGGTTTTTGTAACGCAAGTGATGTGGGAGAAGGATGTCATTAGCAGAAACTTCTTGCCTGAGCTGGTGTTCTGCTGTGTAAAAGTAGATTTTAACATGTTGGAGTTAATTTGCTCACATTATTTTTCAGCACTGATCACTTAGTGCTGTTGCTGGGTTTTTTTTGGTGTGGTTTGTTGTGGTTTTTTTTTTTGCTTTCTTGTGAGTTGCTGGCTAGAATATAGGCCAGTTATATACCTGCATACTAGGTTAAAAGCAAAGACATCCTGAGTATCACTGTAGGTTGAGCTGCAAGTGATGATATATTTTAAGTAGCATAACTGTAATTTTCACTTAATAAAATTGTAGAGTATGGTTGAGTGCCCCTAGAAATAAACTAAGAAAGGAGTTGTAGTTTTACTGAGCTGACACTCCTCCCCACTGGAGGCGAGGTTAGTAGTCTGCTTCAAATTTATGAAAAATACCTCACTTTCTGCCTCGCCTTTTCTGTCTTTAGACCACTCTAATTAAAATGCAACTCTAAAACTTTCATTTAATGTTTTAGTACAGTGGAGGTGTGTGCTTGAAGGGCAAATGAAGATTTGTATTACCTGTGCAGGTTATGGGCGAATCACTGATCGCTTGCCTTACTTCTGAGGACAATACAGTGGGTGTGTAAACTTTAGATCCAGGTTGTTTGAAGTTTTTTAAGTAAACTTTATGTCTGTGACTTAAACTTTTTCTGTCTTGCTTGTAGCAACAAAGTTTCTGAAAGGTCCCTAATGGTTTGGAGCTGCACTTCCTGGGAAGGAAGGGTGCGTGGTCTGCATACATCTATAGATAAAGTGACAGTGTCTCTGGAACATTTTTGCACACTTAACTTCCCATGGGAGCCATGAACAGGACCGTATGCTCAGTTTTCCACTGGTAGATGATTCTAAGATTTGGAGGTTATTCATTTGGGGGTTGAAAGTGAAATCAACCATTGTGTATCCCAGCTTATTTTCTGGTTACTGTTCCAGAGAGCGAGTGTGCTCTTTTCATCCAGAAAGACCTCTTTGCTCTGTCAAGACTTCTCTGATTAACTGTGTAGCTGAGGCATATTTTCTACTTCACTTGTGTGGATAGTGCTCTACTGGTTCTCCATTTCTACTTCTCCAGATTTTCACTGGCTACTGGCCACAAATGATCAATTCATAAAGTTGAAAACAATAAATAAAATGACTGTAGCTCATGATGCAGTTAAGGCACTGGTAACCATTAACTGCATCATGTGGGCCATAGTGAAAGACGCACAGGATAGATTTCTCACACAGCTGTATCAGTGTTCTTTTGGTAGCCATGGCTATTGTGCCAAGTGCTTTCCTTAACAGGACTAGCATGAGCTTGCACACAAAAAAAAAACCTCAGGATTGTTGGATTCGTTGAAATCCAGACTTTAACATACAAATGAGATGTATTTATTATGTAAATCCCAAACTCTTAAAACTTATGTATGTTTCATGTATATATATATTCTCATGCATGATGGTATGGCTGATCATTCTGGATGTTCTTTAATTTTTCTGATTCCTTTCAAATGCCATTTGGTTATTTTCAGGGGTTGCTCAAGAGTTGTGTGAAAGAGCAAAGGGATGCAGGTTGGTAAATAGTACCTGGGGGTCTTTTCTCAGAAAACTTGTCTTTTGACAGGCTGATCCTTACAGACTGTCAGGGGGACTGGAAGGAGACAAAAGAAAATTGGAGGTAGGGATGGACTAATACTAAAAAGAGGAAAACTTGATGAAACAAAGCATTTAATGTTGACTGAGGGCAATGAAGCAAGCAAGGTACAGGAGACCAGCAACATGAAGCAGGCCATAAGATATGGAATGCTGAATGAGGATGAGAATAGTGAGGGAGAGGAATGGTTCTGTCTTCCATACAATTGAGTCTAGTAGCTGCAAGATGTTCAGGTATGACCAACTAACCACAACTGAGAAGTTATAAAGGCCTCACTGTGTACTTATACTTCTTGACATAATTTCATTTATAGGGATTTTCTTAATTGCTGTATTTCTCCTAATTGGTTTGTTTAATAATTTTTATTCCTATTTAATGCACTTTTCCTTCTTTCCTCTGCTAAACCCATTCCCATTATCTTTTTACTTCAGTCTACGCATTTTCAAATGTCTCGGATCTCTTAAACTCTTGCTCTTCACCACAGAAATACTGCCAGTGGCTCATATCAATCTAACCTTTTGGGACCTGGTTAACTTCTCTTTGCTATTCTGCAGCTCACTAGAGTATTTTACAGGTTAAGAAACAATGAATGGATGACACTCTTAGAATTCCTGAACAGATACCATGACACTGGGAGAAAGCCATCAGTAGGGTTAGTAGGTGTTTCGGAGCATTGTCCCTGTACAGAGTTCTGTGTTTTAAAGACAAGACATAACAGTGCTGCACAGTAATTATAATTTACAATCAAAAAGCCTCACAGAAAACCTTACACATTATTCCATCTAAAGGTGTGACAAACTTTTTGCCAAGGCATCAGCAATATTTCTGGCCATTGCTTGCTTCACTGCCTTTACCTCTTTAATTATTTAAGAAAAAACAAAGGAAAGTGCTATAGTTTACAAAAATCATGGAGCTACTGCAGCTTGACTAACCCTTGTTTAACTCTATATGGAGACCACAATTTAATTCCTTCCTTTGGAGCAGGAAAGGACAACTGAAGACCTGTCAGTCTTGGGTCCTGCTTTCTTCATGAAAGCAAATGCTAAAGGTAAGAACATTTTATGCCTTAACTTTGTTTTATTGTACAAAACAAGCAATTTATTAAATATAGCACCTGTCATCCAGAGACAAATATATGCAGAGACATATTTTTTTACTCACATTATAGCTTGTCCCTTGAAATCAGTATGACTTTTTTTCTGTCCTTTTCACAGGAAGAGGACAAATCTCTAGTTAAGTTTTGTTGTGCTTCTAAATGAAGCCTGTAACTGTTGTCTTTCTTTTTAGTACTACACGCGATGGAGTTAACACACCTCAAACACTTCTGTTCTTTAGGCAGTGACATTTCACAGTGATCAATTCATGTCTGAAATCTTCGTTATTTCATCTTTCATATCTTTGATCTCAGTTTGAACTCGTGTTAGATTGGCCAGTTTCTCATTCAGTAAAGCAATTTCCTTCTCGCGTCGTAATATATCCTCTACTAATCTTCCTATTCTCAGTGTTAGGTCACTTATTAATGGCTCCAAGATGGCAAAATCCTTTTTAAGTTTATACATTTTGGGTTTTAAATCATTTGCAAATGTAACCGTCTTTAGAACTTTTGCTCTGTCACCTTCAAGATTCAAAAGTCTATCTGAATGCTTGTTGAAATCACTCCTTAACTCAGATAATGCTGTCTGAATTTGCTCAATTTTTCTTGCGTTACTGAATGCCAAGCTTTGTAGTTCTGTACTGCGGTCAATGCTGCTGGTAAGCAGGTTACCTATATTTTTTACTGTCTTCTCTTCACCTTTTTCTACTTTATCTTCTAGTGTTTGCAAGGAATCTGTCAGTGTAGTCATATCTGAGACTAGGCCTGAGATGCGCCTTATGTCAGTTTTTACTGTCACAATCATCAAAGTTATGTTTTTTGCTATAGAAGCTGCGTTCTGTTCAACACTTGAAACTGCATGAAAAAGAGTTGTTGAATTCTTCTGCAGTTCTTCTTGTTTTTTAATAATGCTGCTAGACCACATTTTCATTGTATAAATATCTTCCTGCAGATGTTTAATGTGAGAAATTATTTTAAGATCTTCCAGCTCTTCCATTAAGTTCCAAGTCTTTTCACACTAGAGGGACACAAATAAAAATATTTGACAAGTTTTCTAGCTTAACAATTCACATCAAAATTAAAGCTATACTCTAATGAAATATCTTGCTATTCAGATATTGAAATTGAGCACAAACCCTGTCTTTAGGAAATAAACTTCTGTTGCAACAGAACCAAAAATTCAATTTTTTTCCTTCCAGTATACATAACAAATTCAAATGTTACTACATTTTCTGTTATAACAAAAATTACAGGAAGGTGCTGTATGATTTTCCAGCATGAACTCTGAAAATACAGGTCATCAAATGCAACCTCCTTTTGATTCACTGAAATTTTTGTATTAAGTCTATAATCTCCGTGATCCAGAAAGACACATGTAGAAGGATATTCAGAAACATTTTAGAAAGATGCCTACTTTAAAATTCTTTTATCCAAAAAGCATGGACCATAATTAATTGATGTGTTTTTATTTGGGTAATCATAATATGTATTTTGAACATGGCACTCACAGAAGAAAAAGCCAAAGGAATTAGGCATGGTTCCTTTTTGTTTAAATAGCCATCAAAATATTTAACAGGAAAAACTACTTAAACAGCCTGCCTCCATAAAAGCTACGTTAATGAGCCATGCTATTGTTGGATTTTTGGCTGCATTTGCTAGTTCACTTTTTTGTTTTTTTCTTAATGATTGGTTTTTGGTTTTGAAATTTGAGAGGAAGAAAGGAAAATACCTGAGTGATACTATCCTGTTCAATCCTCTATCAGTCAGTGTAGTACTTGGAGAGAAAAAACAAACAAAACACCAGAAGCAAGCTGAAACACACTCTAAGAGGCTACAATTAGTTTTGTAATAATCCTTTTCTTGACAGTAGTAGTAAAAATATCACCAAAGAAACAATTTTTTTTTTTTAACCTTTCAATAGTGTTGGTCATTCCTCACTACCACAGAACTGCTTACTTAAGAACAAAATACTGAAATTTAGGTTGTGGAGAGTTGGTGCTGGTTTCCTAGTTAACGCCCTCCAAGAGTGAGGATTTCCTGTTCAAGTTTAGGTAGGTTCAGCTTTTAAGAGGCTTGAGGTTGATGAAAGACATTAAATTGGGAAGCATGCCACTGTTCCCCAAAAAATATGAAGTAGAAACACGCTTGTGAAAAATATTTTAAAAACATTTCTGTATAGAAGAATATTTTGTACTGGAACACTGGATACTAAAGTATTTATTCCATATCCTTTCTGGAAGAGCAGTTTACTTTGAAGTAGATCATACACCAGCACAGGGCAGTCCACTACAATAAATTGTAATGAATGTGACTATAAACATACAAATCTATACATAAATAATAAATATATGAAACTGAAACACTTCATGCCATTGAAAAATGCTGGTTTAATAGTCTCTTGCTTGGGCAGCTTAGTGAAGATTTCAGTAGAGTTCTAGATCAATGAATGTACAAAACCAGAATAATTTAACCTATGCCTGATTAAGTCATAAATATGGGTTCCTGGTGTCTACTACACAGTCTCCTTTCCTGAATTCAGAAATCATCAAGACATAAGTCTGTAGACCAATTTATGCTGGTCCCAAGATCCAAATTTCAGTGAACAGCTACCAGGCCTATTAGGTAGTACTACATCCTGTGTAAGCAGATCTATTAGATCTATGGATAAATTAGATGTTCCCTGTCCCCAAATACGTAACTCCATGGCTTTCATTAATTGCTTTTGCAGCTCTTGGTTCACCAAACCTTGGGAAACAATGTCAGTGATTCTGTTAAGTTTTTGGGTTTTTTTCAAATGCAAAGCAATATATGTTAATCTGATGGCTCCAGTTCTGTTTTTTTTTAATCTAAATACTTTGCTTCAAATTTCATTTTAATAAAAAAATCTTTTAATAAATGAACTGAAAATAATCCTTTATTTAAGAAAATACTCCTTGCCTCCTCTAACACAGTATTTCTTGATCTCTGTCCTCTTTATTGTAGATCCAACATCTATTTAAATTTATGACACTACTGCTACCCTTAACATATATTGGAGTCACATTATTTACAATAAAGTGCTCTTTCATCAATGAAAACCTTAAACCCAAATTCACTTATCCCCATTCTGGTCATTTTCCAAGTTATAGCTTTCTGAAATTATTTCTTTTACTTTTGAAGATACTTTTATGTCATGCACTACTTCTTCTAAAACCACTACTTCATTTTGCACTTTCAACATGCTGTCATTGTAGTGTATGCCTTCAAGATCCTTTTGCATCACTGTTGTATCAGAAATAGTTTTCAACATATCATTTTCCACAGTATATAGCTGTCTTCTCAAGTCCTCTATCTTTTTCTCCATACTTAGCAATTCAGTTGAGAATCTAAGAATAGAGTGAATAGCATTTTCAATTGTTGGCAAATGGGCCTTACACTCCTCAATTTTAGGTTCATAGTTTGCAAGTTTCTGATCCAGGTCTGTGTCCTTGGCTACCAGACTATTCTGTTCTTCTTCTAGCTTTTCAACTGCTTTTGTATGTAAATTCAACTTTTGTTCAGTTCTAGAGAATTCATCATCTTCTTGCCTTTTTAGTGTTTTAATATTTCTGGCTGTACTGTCTTCCACATCTCTTACTCTTTCTGAAAGGGATTTAATTCTTTGGTCAACGTCATTAATTTGGGAAGTGACTTCTGCATGTATGAACTTTGCTTCAGATTTTAAAACACTAGTGTTTGTGTTCATTTCATCCAAGCTTCTTCTCCAGGAATTTGTAACATTTTGTAACTTCTCATTAATGCTCTGCATCTTTAGAGAGAGAGTCTGTTCATTGTTCTGAATATCATTTATGATGTTATGAAGAGAAGATATTTCCTGCTCAAACTCAGTCATCACAGAGATGGATGAGGCAGCTTCTTGTAGGATACTTTCAGAAGACTCAAGCTGCATTTGTAACACAAAACAATGTCCATATCTACTTAACAAAAGTAAGAATAGAAAACCACTTGCATTTATTTAACAGAGAATAAAGTCCCTTAGAAGCCACTTTACTTGTTACAAAGCTCCTATATGATTTGTTTTCATATTTCATCTTTAAAATATTGTTAACATAGCATGAAAAAGTCACAGAAAAGGGTATGTTTGTTGAATTTCTATAGAATACATGCCATATTCTTTGTTGTCAATCCCTTATTTTCCATGGTGGTTTTGGGTTTTTTTTGTAAAATATATCACACTATCTAAATCCCATGCAACATTTTGCAATCTTAGAGTGCGGTATATAAATATCCAAATTACATCATGTGTAAGTTACATCATTATGAGATCAGTGTTAAAACATCACTGGCATAAGCCATGCTGTACTTGCATCATTATAAGATACAGGGGATAATTTGACAGCCAGCCCAATTTTTCTACTTGATAATGTCACACATAGGTAAGAAAATAAAAAAGCAATGAAAAATATTACTATCACTTCATTATACCTTTCAGATTATTAGAACCGGTCTACTACATAAAAATGTCAGTAAATTTTCTTCAAATCAATGTATGTTCAAATTATACACAGAAGAGTGCTGGTAGAATGAAGTATGTGCACAAATGTAAGTTTTTAAAAACAGTTTGGCATCTAAAAAGCAATACTGAGGTACAACCACTATATTCACATACATGAACAATGGTGTGGATTGACACATTTAGTCCCATGAAATATTCTCCAAAGGCCTATTCACAGGCAAGTACAACACATTATGAAAATTTATTTTAAAACAGTTAAATTTAATAACAAAGTAAAATAATGGCAATGTTCACCATACATTATCCAATTAAGAAGTTAGTTATTACCTTTCCAGAAATTAAGTTAACTTTATTTTCCACATCCAGGAATTTTTCAGCTTCTTTCTGTAAGAAATTGTACTTTTTTTCCATATCAGCAAATTGATTTGACTGCTGAAATAGGAACCTGCAAATTGCAAATAAATAAATAGTAAACATAACTACATAATTAGCATATATTAAGTGTTCTGGGACCTGATTCACAGCCATCTGTTACTGCAGGGATTTGCTAGATCAAGACATGAGAAAAAAAAAAGATTTAATGAAGTTGATCTGTCTTCATACTGGAGTTATCTTCCAATAGAGGTAGAAAAATAAGTAAACATCCATATATGTGGTTTGTTTTTACATTGTATGCCATTCAAACAGGAAAAATGTCCGATAGGACTGCTGACCTAGGGAGGCTATTACATGCTCATAATACATTGCCTCACAATATATTTTATGGATAAAGTATTATTTAACTGGTAGAAATAAAACACACAAAAAATTTTGACTTGCAGAGCATCACAAAATCATGCATAGAAGCCTCTGGATTTAGAAAGGCTGGTTAACTCTAACATTTAGTTGTAACCATCCAAGAACATATGGTGCGTTGTGGCAAAGCTTGTAAAACTACTGCTATGATAATGATAGCTTTGAACAGACAGTAGAGATCTCAGTCCTCTACTTTACATACATTCTAGATTCAATTACTGTGAACTTGGGAGCTTTCTGAACTGTAAGCATTTTGTCCAGTTAAAAAGGAAATGAGACAACCAAGCAAAAAATCCTGAATTTTGCTGGATGTTTATTAATCCCAAAATGATGTTTTTTAGAGACTATGCAGGGGTCCTCTCAGTAGCAAGAACAATTTTATCTAGAACAATACTTGTGCTTTCAAAAATTGATATTTATTAGTATATCAAATAGCAATGAGAAGTTTCAAAATATCTACATATTCTATACAGATTGTTAGGCAATAAAAGATAAAATGCTAGCTATAGATAGATAAATGCAAAGCAGGCAAACATATACATAAAACAGCAGAAACAACATTAATCGTTTCATTCTACTAAGTCGTTCTGTTTCTCAAAGATTTAGATAATAAAATCTGGGCAATGTTAAAATAAGTACAAATTTTACCTTAGTTTTCAGATTGACGTCTAGAGTGTAATAATCTGGACTAATTTATTGCTCTAGAGCTCTGAGAATATCATCATATCATTTCTGCAGGAAGCTCAGTTTCTGATGGAACCAAGGTACTGATGCTGCTAAGATATTCTAAAACATCTTTCACAAAGATATTTGACCTTTACTTGAAGACTCCACCTGATGAACAATTTACCACACTGCTGAGCAAATTATTTACAGAAAACTCTGCTTCTGCTGTTGAATTATTTATTACCTGCCAAATGAGCCTTCTACTTACTGTCAGATTAAGTTGCTCTTCACAGTTAGAGGTAGTCTCCAAAGCAAGTATTTACAATTCATAAGCAAGGCACCTTTTAAACTTTCAACATAATAGAACAGATTGAACTTCTATAATCCCTTGCTGTACACCAATGACTCCACACTTGTGAATACTGCTAGTCTCTTCTTGATCCTTCTAGCTTTTACAAGTTTCTGTGGTCACTTAACACAAACACTATATTCAAATGTTGCCTGTGACTGAATACAGTATAGAACACAAAAGAAAAAAAATATTAGAATCCACTTTAGCGGGTTACCTACCAGCTCAGCACCAGGCAAACAGCAAGGGAAATTATGCTCAAGCTTGTCCGTGAGTCCATCCAAAAGGAACTCCAATTATTGCTGGTCCTGGGACTTGCCAGCTTCCCACAATTACTGTGCTTCTCACCCTTTTGTGAGCCTTCATTGGTCTTGGATGAAGAAATACCTTTTTTCCTCTGCTTAACTTCAGACATTTTGTGTTTTTAAAAAGCAGAAGCAAAAGAGAGAACTAGAAAAAAAACCAAAATGGACTAGTTACTTATAAACATCCCCAAATATAACATCTTACCCTTTAGTTACACAAATACACCCCCAAAAATGTTTCCTTCAGTGTTTACTATATTTTCCAGTTATGTGAACTTTTGTGAAATGTAATACCTTTATAAGACTTTGCGAAAGCTAGTTTTCTATATCATAGAGCACTGCTTTTATATTTTCTCAAACTGAACTGACTTTCAAACTTTAGCTAATTTTACCTTTCCAGAAATATTTAATCTGTTGTACAAGCCATTTTGAAGATATATTTAAAATCACAAGGACTGAAAGCATGATATTTCTTTTTACAGTTGATTACAGTCACAATTTCATCAGCAATTTTATTATCCTGTTTTACTTGTAGATGTTTTACCTACTCCACATTAAAGGGGAAAATTAATTTTCTCATTTTGAAAAATGAGATTACAAATCAAGCTTTAATTTAGAAATAGTTCTGTGGCAATGATTTTATTTCATCTGTAAACCCACAGAGATCAGTTAACAGAAACCAATTAATAGTAAAATATGTAAGATTAATGAAATAATGCATCTAGATAAAAGCTATAATTTCCTCTTTGCTAAAATTAAGGTCCGAATAGATTCAGGCAGTATGACTCTCCAGTTTGAAAGAGTACAAAAGCTCCTATTCTAACCAGGTGGAAGTAGAGAGTGGAATTTTTAAGCCTAAAATCTTCCACCATACTGCTCAAAACAGACTAGCTCCTTGGTGGATTCAGTTTATCACAATTTGAGACAAAAATATGAAAAGATAATTTTGCAGTATTGCCATTTAGTCACATGTCAAAATATAAATATTTAACTGTTAGAGATACTTACATAGTCGCATACATATGCAAAAGGCACTGTTTAAATCTGTCACAGAGCATGAAGCTCAGAGCTGTCCGTGAGTCACAGCACGAAGCAGCATGCTCGGAGTTTGGAGTATGCAGGAAAAAACCATTTCTTGCTCTCCCTCCAAAACAGCAGAAATGCTACTTTGTCACTTTTTAAAACACCTTTGGGATTGACAGCACTGTTAAGTTAAAATGAAAAAAAGATACTTGAATGACAGTTAGGGAAATAGTTTAATAGCGCAACAACACCTCGGCTTTAAGGACAACTTCGGAGCGCAGCCCCGGGCAGTACAGAGGGACGGGTCCCTGCTCCCCCAGACACCCTCCCGAGCCTCCTCTCCCCCCGGCCCCCGCTCGGCCCGGGGCACGGAAAACGGCCGCCTGCCCTTCTCCCCAGGCCGCTTCCACCTCCCCTCCACCCTC